CCCTTTTCCACCACCGCCACCACCTCTACCTCCTCCGCCTCCTCCTCCACTGCCACCACTACCACCACCATATCCCTCACCACCCCCAGACCCGGAACCATAACCTGACCCAAGTCCTGATGCTGAACCGCCACCACCACCTCCTCCCTGTCCTCCACCTCCACCTCCACCTCCAGTTGCCTTTAGTATCCTAGCAGCAAAGGTGAGGTCCACAATAAGCAAGACCAAAAACGCAGCCCCTACCACCCTCAAAGCCATTTCCAAATGAAACTAGCACAATATATCTATATGTTTGCGTGTCACTCGCTATATAAAATACCAATATGCTTTGTGGACTGAAAATGCTTGAGGTAGGAACCCTATATATAGGCATTGCCAAGGTTACCAGACACTGTTTTTGAAAAGTTTATTAAATTTCTAGTACCTTCTCTATCACTTGCTAGTCTTGATGATGATTGAAAGGAACGTGTGATTTAGGTGGTTGTTTAGTGGAGGGTGCTGGTGGTGGGTGTGGCGGTGGTGGTATTGTGGACGTCTGTCTGTTTCAGTCTTCATGCAATGTTTGCATAGAATAAAAGATTTATCCCCTCTTTTTGACATGAAGTGTCTTATAATATTTAACTTTGGAAATGGGACCAATGGCTTGCATCTCCCACTTTATCATTCTGTTCAAATTTGAACTCCACATTCAAATTTTAATACATGAAAATATCCATGCACTAACAGTCTTGTGGTGTGCTAACAATTGTCTCCTTAAGCATCAATGCATCCACTAATACTAGCAATTTAAGCACAAAGATGTCTGTTTAACCTCTTAGAGTATATTCACAATGGTCTAAATTTGCACGACGAGCTGGGTTGTCTAGTCAATTTCTTATTGCTGGTGGACTTGGAATAGGACTCATCTTCGTTTTCCATATAAAAGAACTCTGGGCATCATTGAATATAAATAGATGTGTACTTGAAAAACATCTTCTGAATGCTGATTTATAATTTAAAACTTGGTGCCTGTTTTGATGCATGAAAGCACTATCCTTGCATTACGACAATGGCATGTTAGGCCATCTACATGGTTGATGTATATACACAGTAGTCTTCTATTCTTGCACAAATTGAATTTCAGTACCATGCATCCTAAGATTATCACCTCCTTCGATGCCATGTTTTATTAAGTTTCAGTGGCTTAATTGGCCATTAGTGGATATGTAATTCGGAATAATCTTTACTTTAATGTCTGTGCCTTGCATCACATCCTTCATTTATTTATTTATTTTCCTCGAGCAAAACATGGCATTGTCAAATGCCAGTAGTTTCCAACATTGGTGCCTCTATCGATGAAAGCACTATATATTCTATGCTATCATATTTTTTAGTATTCTTCGTTTGTTTTCCCCAATAGAATAAGGCACAAGTACAAAGTGTGATTAGCTCCTCCTAAGCTTACACGTATTCCAGCTGCCATTGAACTTCTCAATCCCATATTCTACTCTTCAGGATATCCTGAAAATCATAGGCCACAGACACCCACTAACTTCCCCACCAAAATTTCCCGGTCCCAAACTCTCCATGGAATGCCAAGTGTGGTCTCTGCCTTCTTTCTTTAGATTTACGCTTATACTGACAACTGGAACATTACTGTTTTCTACTTTGCCTAGGGTGTCCATCTGTATAGCATGCTTGCTTTCAATCATAGCAACCTAGCCATCATTTCCTCGACGAAAAAAGAAATGGGCTGTCATCAATTTACTGAATTTCAAGTACAGTGAACGAATCACAACTTTTTGTATTTTATACAATACACAGCTTGGTCAGGTCTGTGTGTAGGGCAACAATAGGTCTAAAGGTGCTATCCTATGTTCCTCTCAAATCTGCGATTAGATTTTAAGAGTATGCTTGTTCAACACCATTATGACCAGGAGATAAATTGGTTAGGGAGACTTTTTGCGATGTGAAGGATGCCAGCTGGGAGAGAAGTGGAAGCCATTTTTTTCTTATAAGTGGCAGCCATTATGTGCATGTGCTCTTTGATTAGCTAGTCAGTTCTTTTTTACCAACTCCATTAACGAATGTGATCAGAAGATTATTCATGGATATACATGCTCTCATTAGTAATACTTGGTAACATCAGCTATGATTTTCCCATTGATTAATAAAGGATCGACACAGAGAGGATAGCAATGTAGTTGTTAGTTTAAGATTCAATGACAGATTGTCGAGTTAATTATAGCCGATCAATGGGTCGGGATTTATCATTTTTGTTGAAAATGATGCTTTTTTAAAAAAAATAATATTTTTTTTAGTTTTCATCCAGTTTGGTTTAGATTCAATTTATCCAGATAAATCAGGCTGTTAATTAACACGTTGAGTAACCTAAGTTTTATTTGATCAAAACTACTTCAAATTAAAACTTGACTCAAGTCTTGGTTCATGGGTTATATTAAGTCAACTTATCGAGCTAGACAAAGTTTAATAATTATAGAGGATAATAAGAGGCCGCAGTAGCTATTGTGGCTATAAGTTGCCTTTTACAAATATTTTAGGGTATATTTAGGAGTATAATAAAAATTGTTTTTTAAATTATTTTTTATTTATAAATATATTAAAATAATATTTTATTTTTATTTTTAGAACTTATTTTTACTTTAGAAAATCCAAATGATTTGAAAAAAAAAGAAGAAGAAGTTTTTGAAACGAATTTTCTTTTCAAAATTTTAAAAACATGATTGTACCGTAATTTCAAAGGTTTGAAGCAACCATGATTTCAGTCAAATTTATTTTATCTTCTGTCACTGCTACAGCATAAAAATAAACACAACCAACAGTTTGTGAATTAATTTGTTTGATAGCTTGATCAAAAAACAAACTAGGGTTTATACAAGCAAAGAGCTTTGCTTCATATTGTCAACTTGCTCTTGATAGCATCCAGTATATATGTTCCATGGCATCTGCCGAGAAAGAGCTGGTATTGATTCTACAACATTTAATATCACTTGAAGAAAGAAAATTTAGATTGACATAAATTGATCAGGACATACTTTTAAGGTTTCCTTTCGCGATAAACTTAATTTGGAAACATTAACCCTAGATTTTTTTGAAAGGAAGAGTAACTTAAAGTTCCGCTTGGTTGATGAGAAAATGAAGGAAAATCAAATTTGAAGCTTTGAAAAAGTCTCAACAGTTCCCGTCCAAATATGTGTTTTGATGATGCTCTAGAAAAGGAAACTGAGAGGCTTGAAGTGCAACGATTGCAAGCTAATTTGGACGCCAGATCAATGCAAAGTTGTTCATGTAGCAGAAGCTGCAGTTGCAAAATATCTTCTGGATAAGAGTTCAGCCATCAAAAAGTTCTTAGAAACTGGAGCCTGGGCGTTTAGATGCCACCGAAAAAAATCTTTGAGGTTAGCTTTTTGTGAACTCATGTGTAAGGAGTTCAAACTGATTATCTTCTGGATAAGAGTCCAGCCATCGTGAACTCATGTGTAAGGAGTTCAAACTGACCGGTTGAATTTGGTTCTACAATTTTAAAATTGAATAAATCTAATTATTTAATCTTTTAATAAAATTTGATTTCCTGTATTGTGGGTCTCTAGTCTATATATAATGAGTTTTTTTAAAACTAAAACCAAACCAAACAAAAGAATTAAAAATTTCTAATTAGTTTTTTTTTTGGTTTAATATATATCTACGATCAGTATTTTATTCTTTATTAATTTTATATCTGTTTTTCTCAACTATTTTAGTTATATATTTCATCAATCATGCATTTTCTTTAATTTAAATCACTCCTGGCGAATTTGCAGTCATGGAATTTTCAGCAGCCTTGTATTGAGGCTCACTGATTCCCACTGCTGGCATATTTTTTAACTCCTGCAAAAGGTCTCAACTGTCGGGGAGGAATTCTTTTCTTTTATAACCCTTGTATTGTGACAGGAGTCATGTTTTTATGAATCATTGTATTTATTTATTCAAACCGGGGAGGAGGGAGAATGCTAGAATTTGAGAATAAATATATAGTTCTTGACTCTACTATTACATGCAGACTACAAGTCACACACATGCACGCAACTAGCAGCCGCTAGCCAGCATGCTTGATACTAGTACATGAAAATACATGTATATGCATAGGTAATGCTCCCGCAATTTATTTAACATACAAATGACCTCATGTTCATGGCAAACCATAATCAATATCCCCTCCATACCCTGATCCATACCCTGACCCACTACCATAGCCAGAACCAAAGCCGGATGCTCCTCCTCCTTCACCACCACCACCACCACCACCACTTCCTCCTCCTCCTCCACCACCCTTACCACCACCATTGCCACTTCCATATCCTGACCCACTACCATAGCCAGAACCAAAGCCGGATGCTCCTCCTCCTTCACCACCACCACCACCACCACCACTTCCTCCTCCTCCTCCACCACCCTTACCACCACCGTTGCCACTTCCATATCCTGACCCGCCTCCACGTCCATAGCCTGATCCACTTCCTGATACAGTGCCCCCACCCCCACCTCCTCCACCACCACTACCTCCACCCCCACCTCCTCCTACACCAATGCCGGAGCCATAGCCTGAGCCACTGCCAGACCCATAGCCAGAACCATATCCGCTACCTGACCCCGTACCACATCCCTCACCACCACCAGACCCATACCCTGAGCCATGACCGGAACCTGATCCAAGTCCTGATGCCGAACCACCACCGCCGCCCCTCCCTCCTCCACCTCCTCCACCCCAACCACCTCCTTTACCTATTGCCTTGGGTGACCTAGCAGCAAAAGTGAGGTCTAGAATAAATAAGATCAAGAATGCAGCCCCTATCACTCTTGAGCTTGCCATTTCCGAACTGCACAACTCAATGTAGCCAGTGAAGAAATCACTGTGGTTCTGTTTTTGTCACTCACTATATAGAAACCGATCGATGCTTCTTGACTGAGAATGCTTAAGGTGGTAACCCTATATATAGAGGCATTGTAAAGGTGATGATAGAAAGGAATGTATGTTTTGGGTTTTTGTTAGTGGTGGTTGTTGTTGGTGGCCTGGTGGGGGTGACCGTGATGTGGTGGACTGTCTGTCAGTGCCTTCATGCAGTATCTGCCCAGAATAAAAGCTTTATCTCCACTTTTGACTTGAGTTGTCTTAAAAGATACAAATTTGGAACTGGGACCAGTGGCATGCATTTCCCACTTCGTCATTCTGTTCATATTTGAACCCTACTTTGAAGGCATGGAATTTACAGACACTAGCACTTGTTTGGTGATTATGTTAACACTTGTCTCCTTGAGCACAAGTTTATCAACTAACAACGGAGATTTATGCACACAGATGTCTGTTAATTAATCGTCCTTGTATTTACATCTCACACTGGGTTTTGCAGCGTTTATATATATATATATATAGATATATATAGTTGTTAGATAGCATTACTAATTTTTCTTCTCTCCCGTTTAGTAGAACACTTCTCATAATTTATTATGAATGCTAAGCTAATGGGACTTGAGGGATTCATCTGGATTGATTTGACTATTCTGAATAGAAAAGGTCAACACAATTTTAATTTAAAAAAACACAGTTTTTTCGCTAACTGGACTCGGATCCATCAAGGCTGGGTCGGGTGAGAATCAGAGCACCGACAAAGGGTTCCGGAATGCTGGTCAATAATCTTAAGCTTTGGTAATGGTGCCTGCTCTGTCACATGAAAGCTTCATCTTCGTGTCACTGCTTATGGAATGTGAATTATTCGTACATGTGTGTGTGTGTGTGTGTGTGTGTGTATACATACATGGATGGGTGATTGTTAACCTTCAATTCTTGCGCAATTCATGACTTCTAGTTCCATGCATTTACAGATGAGCATCACTACCATTAATGTCATCTCAAATTTATTTTAATAATACACCGTAAATGCATTGGTCTAATGGTTGTGCCTTGCAGTACGTATGCATACCCTTTTTTTCCACGATTTTTCTTGAACCTCAGTGGCTTCTTCTAGTCACGAGAGCACTGTCGGTGCCAGGGGCGGAACCAGAGGAGGCGGGCAGGGCCCGGCCCCTGCAAATTATTTTAAATTTTTAGTATTTAAATACAAGATAATATAATATATTTTTATTTTCTAATAATGAATTATATCTTGAATTTTAGCCCTTCCTACCCCTGATCGGTGCCATCAAATTTCTCAGCGTTCTCAGGGTGTTTCCCTATCCAATAAAATAAGCCCTAACTTTAGGCAGGGAGAACATCTCGTCAGCCTACCGGCTACCAGCAGGAAGTTTCTATTGTACTGTCCGACCCCATATTCTCTCCATGGAGAGTTAGTGCGGTGCCTGTCATCTTTCTTTATAGACGCTTACTCTGACATCTGGCACCTCACTTCCTTCTACTTTGCCTTGGATGGACATCTGCGTAGCTTGCTCGCATTCAATTCCAGTTGCCTAGCCATCTTATCATTGACCAGAATAGAAAGGGACTTCTGCAATTGCTGACTTCAAGTGTGAACGAGTCACTTCTTCTAGCCACCTACATCGTGCCGTACACAACGCGGTGTGATTTGTTATTTATTACGATATTGATAGACATCAACAAACATTAAGGTGGTGTCATAGGTTTCTGTAATGACAGATTGGATAGATCTGGATTTGTTTGGTAAGATTTAGGTGGTTGAAGTTTGGACTCTGAAGGATGGCCGGCCGAGCTGGAAGAAGTGGAAGGCATCATAATAACAAGACTGACCATCGTTAATGGCACCCACTACGTGCATGTTCTTGATTAGCCAGTCTCATATTTCTCAAACTCCAATACTGAAACTGATCAAAATACTCTCTTCATTAAACCAGCACAATTGCAGTGAAAGTTATAACAGTCACTCATACCACAACTCGATTAATTAACATCCGGGAGGGTGATTATGGATTCTTCTGGATTAATCCAAAAATGTGTAATTTTAAGATTTTTTTTTAAAATTAAAACAATTTTGTTTTATCTATTAAATAGTTGAGCTTTGATAGTATTATAGGTTAACCTCTTAGATCCAATCAGTAAATTCCAACCTGATTTAATCTGAAATATAGTTTGGTTTGGACTCGCAATTATTAAGGTGATTCTAATTTAAAAACAATTTTTTTTCCCCAAATAATGTGATCTTAGATAAAGAGATGCTTGCTTATGAAAAGTTTATTCTTTGGGTTTATTCAGGTTCCTCGGCTAGTAATTAATAATGTCACAATACTCCTCTAGAAGAATGGCATAATTAATGTGGTTAGGATATGATTTCCAGCAAGACACATCTGATGTTGGACGTGCAAGATTAACATAAACATATTTGATGAATAATTAATTTAATCTCTATCTAGAAGACATTACATTCAGAAACCATATAAAGCAAGGGTGTGTAGAGAACACATGTTGCCTGCCCTTGTTGCTTTGGAGAGTATTTGGTACTGTATTTAAAAAATATTTTTAAAAAAATTTGAATTTTTCTTACTCTGAATTAATATATTTTAAATTATTTTAATATATTAATCTCAAAAATAATTTTTTAAAAATAAAAAATATTATTAACATATTTTTTTAAATGAAAAATATTTTAAAAAATAACAACAACTACATTTCCAAAAATACTTTTAAAAATTAAATAAGAGCCCGAGACCTTTCTTGGTAAATTAGGCGCCTGACATGGCTTTCTAGATTTACATCGTCTGGATTTTTATATATATATATAATTTTTAATATTACAGTCTTGCATGAAATGTTTTTCCTTTTATTTGCAGTCTTGCATGAAATGTTTTTCCTTTTATTTTATTTAATAAATTTTTTATATATGTTGATTTCTATTATAAATTAATTTTAATAAATAAATTTATTAAACATAACCGAATAAATAACCCATATTGCGATATTTATTTTTTTATAAAAAAATTCATTACCTTTTATTTTTTTTTTAATTTTAACTCTCATTCTCTAATTATTATTTTTTTTTATATATTATTTTTAATCTATTTTTCTTTTCAAATCACCCCTCAATATTTTGTTTTCTATAAATTGGGTTTCATGATTTTTTCATATATAATGTTTTCGATTTGATAACTTGGGTACATTGTTTTAAAATTTAATAAGGGTTGATATTTTTTTATATTGTTGTTCAACATTTTTTTAAAAAGATTTTGTATTTTTTTAAAAAAATTTCTATTAAATTATCCTGATTTTATGATCTAAGATACTTATTTATAAGATTAATTCATACTAACTCACCATTTAATATCCGGATTACATGTTTATTGTGATGGCTTTGATTGGTTTACACTAATTTAGTTTTTCAATCTTATTTTGTCATTTCATGTTTAATTGACTAAAAATTAAACAATTTTATATTTTTATTCTTAGATAGTTTTTTTTCTTCATGTTATTATGGTGTCTTATATATATATATATATATATTCTTGTTTGCTATTGTTATTATTATTTTTTAATATAATTCAAATAAAACACGTTTATTTATTTGGTTAGGACTATAACCCGGTAACAACTAATTTGCGCTGGAAAATATATAATGCACTGACCCTTACAGGTTTCCCATCCTGCAATCAGGATATCAGGGCATGTTTCTGTGATCAATTAATGATCATTTACCATTATCATAGGTCAGAACCACTTATAAATTATGAACAAACATGGGAAAAATAAAAGAGAGAAGAAAAACTAGTCATGTGATCATCATATTTATTACAAAAATAAAATGAAGCTGTCTAGTTAAGTAAAAAAAATTCAGTTCTCGTAAGTGATTTATGGACCTCATGGATCATATAAGGGTCGGTCGATCAAGACAAAATGGAAATGAACTCTGTTTGGTTTGGTATGGATTGGTTTCAGCTAAAGATTCTAGCAGCTACCCAGTTTAAGAATAAGAATATTAATATTAAAATATGATCAAGAAATTCCACTAAATCCACTCTCCTCACCATCTCGTGAAGGAGTCGAACCACTGGTTTGACGTTGCTCATTGTTGTTACGAGATTTAGTAATTATTTTTGAATCCCCACTCCCTCTGGGGCTGGGGCTGGGGCTTTAGATCTTGATCTTGAAGTTGACCCCTCAACAGAGGCATCTTTCGGCTTCTTCCTCCGAGATTTCTTCGTTATGTCAGGTAAATTTGAGGGTGACTCGCTTTCTCCACTGTTATGCTCATGATTCCGACTTGTTCTAGTACCATCCAATTATTCGGTGTCATTTCGTGAAGACCGCTTTAGTTTTATCTGATTTTTCCCTGGTTGGAGATTCAGCTGATGATCGCTGAGAGTTATATTTTCTTTCAACTTCAACTAGAGTGCTGCAAAACGAACACAACAAGAGAACACTGTAGATTTGGGCAATCTCAAAATAGTTAAAGCCAGAAATAATAGCCATGGTGCTGATTTTCCATGCCTGACAGATTCAGCCGTTGAGAGTCTTATCTTTTCCAGTAGACAGGATAGAGTTGCGTTCTCTTAATCTGTGATTGACGTGCTATGTTCAACGTGGAAGATAAAATATTTCGCAGAGTTTTTAACAAACTACTATGAGCCCCCTGCCTATTCTATTTATCATTTCCACCAATCGTCCCTCTTTATTTTCCGTCTACTCTACCCCATTAACTCAACTCCATCTTCAGTTTCTAAATTATTCTATGTTTCAATCCTTGTTGCATATTTCACGTGATTTTGCACAGCCATTTTCTGGAGGCACAAAGTTTACCCACAATGATTCAGGCCTGGAATCCCAAAACTAAGGATATGTTAATATGCAGTGTCTATCTATAAAACTAATTGCTTATTTCTCTAGTTTAGATAATCTTGTAAGCCCCATTCAATGCTAACAAAACCCCTCCTCCCTGTTCACAGTGCAGTCGGGATCCTCGTGTTAACAACTTCCGTAAAATTTTAGTCCAACTAGACTTGTGATGCAAAGCTTTTGAATAATGGCAGGGAGCAAATGTTTCGAGCTCAAAATCAAAACCATGCTCTGAAAATACAAAAAACGGAAAGGGTTAGGACTCGATATTTCGTTGCCTTCAAAGACTGTTAGTTGGAGGTAGCAACACATCGAACGATTAAAAAGTTAGTGCTCCTGAAGAAAATCCAGCATGAAAACATGATGGACTGGACTGCTGGTTCCTGTGCGGGCTAGCTAGACTATGTGTCCAGCTAGCTCAAGGCTTGGCAGTACTGGGTCTATCATTTTGGACCACTCTACTAAGGCCTGGTTGAACCGGCCTTTATAGCTTCTGGACCATGACTTCTATGTTGCCTGGATTGTGTGCTGGCATGGCAAAGATGGAAGGTCACACAAGAT